GGGGCTTTGGGCACCTTGGTCTCATGGAAGATGTCCCGGCCACTAGAAGGGATGGAACTGGATGGGCTTTAAGGTCCCTTCCAACCCAAAACCTTCTGTGATTTCTCTGGCGATTCCACCACTTCCCTGGGTTGGAGGGGACCTTTAAGGTCATCAAGACCAACCATCAACCCACCACTGCCCAACCCACCAACACCCAGGTTGCCCAGAGAAGCTGTGGCTGCCCCATCCCTGGAGGGGTTCAAGGCCAATGTTGGACGGGACTTGGAGTGACCTGCTCTGGTGGGAGGTGTCCCTGCCCAGGGCAGGGGTGGGACTTGGGGGGCTTTGCTCTTCAACCCAAACCCTCCCGTGCTCCTACAAAGCTGCTGGGTCCTGCTCACCCCCCTGACCCTCCGCTCCTCTCCCCCTCCAGGTGCAGCTGGATCCCTCGGGCACCTTCCTGGCCGCGAGCTGCTCCGACAAGAGCATCGCCCTCGTGGACTTCCACTCCGGGGAGTGCGTGGCCACCATCTTGGGCCACTCAGGTTCGGTTCCTCTCGGGAGCCCCCGGGAGCTGCCCAGGGAAAGGGGCAGACACAGAGGAGAAGCCCCCAGCGCTGTTCCTGGGAAGCCCCCCTCAAAAACACTCCACTCTGTCAATTAAACGTCCTCAATGAGCACGGGGGGGGGTCACAAGAATTGCCCCCACCCCAAAAAAAACCCTTTCCTTCTCTTTGGCTCAGAAATAGTCACGGGGATGGGGTTCACCTACGACTGCAGGCGCCTGGTCACCGTGTCAGGAGACAGGTAGGGACCTCTCAGGACACAAGTGGCTGCAGAGAGTGCTGGGGGGGTGGGGGCAGCACCAGAGGGCTCCGGTGGATTAAATTAATTGAGGGATTTAGCTAAAAACCCTCCCCCAAATCCAAAATCTGGGGGCCTGACCCCCCTCCCCACCGCTTTTCCACCCCCAGCTGCATCTTTATTTGGCACCTGGGCCTCCCAGTCCCCAGCAGCGCGAGGATGGAGCTCAACCTGCCCCCGGTGGGGAAGGAGCCCCGTCCCCCAGCGCCCCTCAGGTACCGGGAAAAGCTCCCTCATCCCCATTTCCCCCCCCCCAGTTTTGGCTTTTCGGGGGGGCCCCCACCCTTCTCCTCTCCTCCAGGCGGGAGACCTACGTCTCCATCCCCGCTGGGACGGCGGCCCCCGAGGAGGAGCAAGACGAGGCCTCGTCCCTGCAGACCCCCTCCAGGGAGGACTCGGAGCCACGTGCGTTGGGGGACGGGGTCCCTCCGCAGCTGCCCCCTGTTTTTCTGCCCCCCGAGGGGGGGGGGACCCTGTTTGCTGCTCCTGACCCCGCTCTCTTCCCCCCACCCAGCTCCAGTGTCCGTCCTGACCAACGGCAGGATGCCCATGTGGGCAAAGAGGCTGGTAATTGAACTTAATTTAATTTAAGGGGGCTGAAGGAAGGTCCCTTTGCTCCGTCCCTACCGCGCCCCCCTTCTTCTCTCTCCCCTTTTCCAGCTGGGGGAGGTGGAGGAGGGGGACAAGCCCCCCGGCCCCCGCTGGAGCTACCAGCCGCAGGGGCGATGGGCAGAGTGTGCCCAGAGGGGGCCCATCAAGACCCTGCTGGAGGGGGATCCCCTCGACGTCACCCCCCTCAGACCCCTCCTCGGGGACCACCCGGAGCTGCGGTCGGGCAGCCTGGAAGATCTGCCCTCAGAGGTCAGTGGTGGGACCGGACCCCGCACCCTCCCTGGAGATTTTTTTTCACTCTCTTTCTGGGGAGAAAAAATAAAAATCTGGCTACATCAGACATCAGCTCCTCGTCTCCAGCAGGAGAACTCCCCCAGTGACCCCGGTGAGGACTTCCAGCTCTCCCAGCTCCTGTGGGACAAGGAGACCAGCGGGGAATGGGAATCACCGGAGACGGAGACGGGAAGGTGGGTGCCTTTGGGGTGGGAGCAGGGAAACTTTTCGGGCACGAGCATCAGGTTCCAAGTCTGATCCGTGGCTGAGGGAAGCCCCCTCCTGTGGAGGCAAGGTTTGGGGGGGACCCCCTTCTTTCCAAGCTCCTCAGAGAAGGGCTCTTAGACCCGGGGAATAGTTTGTGTCCAAAGGGTCTTGGATGCAGCCACCGACCAGGGGCAGCGTTGGCCCGTTTCAGAGCCCGGCCAAGGCTGTGGCAAAGCTGGAGAGATAAATGACTCGTTAAGGGGATGGAGGTAACGACCTCAGACTCACCACACTCACGGCAGAAGGGGAGCTCCACTTAATCATGGAATCAGGGAATTGTCAGAGTCGGAAGGGACCTTCTAGAGACCATCCAGTCCAACCCCCCGGCCAAAGCAGGGCTGCCCAGAGCACAGCACTCAGGACGGGGCTTGAAGATCTCCAGAGAAGGGGACTCCACACCCTCCCTGGGCAGCCTCTGCCAGGGCTCTGCCACCCTCACCCCAAACAAGTTCTTCCTCAGATTGGAGTGGAACCTCCCATGGTCCAGCTTGTGCCCGTTGCCCCTCGTCCTGTCCCTGGGACCCACTGAGAAGAGTCCGGCTCCATCCTCCCTCAACCCCCCCTTTGGATGGTTGGAGGGAGCTTGGAGCGACCTGCTCTGGTGGGAGGTGTCCCATCCCTGACCCACTCCCCTCCTTCCCCCCAGGCCCCGTGTGCCGGAGCTGTCTCCGTGCCCCGCGGTCCCGGAGGAGCAGGAGCTGGGCTGGGGGGACACCTCGTCCCGCTCCTCACCCACCCCCGGCTGCCAGCAGGAAGGTAACGCCGGGAGCGCGGCCGGAGCTCGGGGCTGGCACCAGGGTCCTCAGACCCTCCCGAAAAGCTCGGGGGGTGGTTTTATCTCTCACTTGGGGAGGGGGCTCAGAATAAAAATCACCCATTGTGGGTGATTTTTGCTGTCTGTCCCCATCCCAGCAGACGAGGAGTCCTCGGAGGAGCCGGAGGAGACCCTGCTGCCCAGCAGCTCCCTGCCCCAGACCCCCGAGCAGGAGAAGTACCTCAGGCAGCACTTCCAGACGCTGGCAGACACCGAAGGTACCGGGGAGGTGACACCTGGGGCACAGCCCGCATCCCAGCCGAGCTGACACCCCCCTTCCCCTCCCCACAGAGACGTTCGACGGCTCCTTGAAGGATCTAAAACCGCCCCAAACCGGGGAGGAGGAAAAAACCTTCTTTTTCAACCCCCGCTTGAGCATTTCCGCCCGGTTCCTCGCCCGCTGCCAGAAGAACAGCAGGTTTGGGGGGGGCGTTGTGTCCCTCGGGGTGTGTGTGTGTCTGTCTGTCTGTCTGTCCGTCCGGGATGGGGTTTCCCTGCTCCCGACGCCGTCTCTCGTCCCCCAGGCTGGCGGCCGCCTTCCCCCCGCGGGCACAGCCCGACCCCAAAACACCCCAGGAGCTCCAGCGACCGGAGGTGAGTCGGCCTCAGGGAGGGGAAAAAATCTTTGGGGAGAAACAGACCCAAAAAAAAGGTGTTTTCCCTCCTCTTGGTGCGTTTCCCTCAACTTTTTAGGAACTGCCGGATGAAAAACCTTTGGAAATGGGAGAGGAACCGGGCTCCAATCCCCCTGGTGAGCATCTGAGGGGCTTCCTCTGCAGATTTTTGGGGCGGATGGGGCAGGTTTTTGTCCCCAGAGGAAGGGGGCAGAGGGCTGACCCCCGGGCCGTGCCGCCCCACAGGATTCCAGCTCCGGGACGAGACCTTCTCCAGGTCCCTGCGGCAGCTCCAGACCCAGTTCCAGGAGACGCTGGAGCTCTACACGCAGGTCGGTGCCTCCTTTGGGGGGTGTGTGGGTGTGGGGGGAACCTCCCCAATTCACAGCGGGGGGGAGACATTGTCAGCTTCACCTCCATCCCTGGAAAGGTGATGGAACGGCTCATCCTGGTGTCACAGAATCACAGGATCCCGTGGGGTGGGAAGGGACCCTCTGGAGATCATCTCCTCCAACCCCCCCCCGGCCAGAGCAGGTCCCACCCAGAGCAGGTTGGATTCATCCATGGGGGGGTTTGAATGTCTCCAGAGAAGGAGACCCCACCACCTCCCTGGGCAGCCTCTGCCAGGGCTCTGCCACCCTCAAAGTCAAGAAGTTCCTCCTCACCTTTAGGTGGAACTTCTTCTGTTCAAGTTTGTGCCCATTTCCTCTTGTCCTGTCCCTGGGCACCACTGGAAAAAGACCAGCCCCGTCCTCCTGACACCCTCCCTTGAAGTATTTATAGGTGTTGGTCAGATCCCCCCTCAGCCTTCTCTTCTCCAGACTCAAAAGCCCCAAGTCCCTCAGCCTTTCTTCACCAGAGAGATGTTCTCCTCCCCTCATCATCTCTGTAGCCTCTGCTGTCCCCTCTCCAGCAGTTCCCTGTCCTCCTTGAACTGGGGAGCCCAGAACTGGTCCCAGTGCTCCAGCTGGGGCCTCCCCAATGCAGAGCAGAGGGGCAGAATGACCTCCCTGGACCTGCTGGCCACCCTCTTCCTGATGCCCCCCAGGATGCCATTGGCCTTCTTGGCCAC